AAACACGCCACAAGGTGGAGACAGCCACAGGGGAGTGAATCGGGAATCGGAAAGTGATACTGTTCTGCATTCCGCTGAAGTGAATCGTCAATCAATCGCGTTCCGCAGGCAAGAGTGGCGATTCAGTTCCGTTCTCGCGCCCCAGCACTAGTGCAGAGAAGCGGGGCCCAGGTGGCGACATACCTTGAGCAGCGTGGACAGATCCATGGGCTTCTTGATCACACTGTAGTAGTCCTTGACCGTCTTCTTGCTCACCGGCGCATGGAACGGCCACGACTGGGGGGGGGGGGGGGGGGGGGGCGAATTGAAAGTTTATTTTGAGTAAGCGTTTTATGGCACTTGCAACACAAATTGGTCACATAAGTGAAGACGTGAAGAAGATTAGAGTTGTTACTAGAGAGTAACATACAAAGAAGAGAAGGAGGAGAGATTAGGACGTTAGATGTTTGGTTGGAAGGAAGGAACGAACCACACAAGAAAGTGGAGACGACAGCAGATGACAGAACATTGCTAGAGTGCAGGAAAGGAGGTGAAAGGAGTACATTTTAGAGAAGAAAATGTTCCGTCGCTATCAGGATTCGAACCCCTGACCTACTGAATGAAAGGCAAACACCTTAACCTTTAGGCCACGAGAGCCCCCATATAATGAGGGTAAGAGTTGTACGCCACTTGCAACACAATTAGGTCATATAAGTGCCGAAGATTAGAGGTGTTATAAGAGAATAACAAACACAAAAATAAAGGAGGAGAGATATGGACAACAGACGTTTGATCGGAAAGAAGGAGCAAACCACACCAGAGCTCCCTCCAACCACCCACTCAATAGCTTTCATGTTCTGACCAAATTATGACTTACATTCTCAATAGCTTTCATGTTTTGATCAAATCATGACTTACATTCTCTATAGCTTTCAGGTTCTGATCAAATTATGACTTAAATTCTAGATACCTTTCATGTTCTGAGCAAATTATGACTCACATTCTCGAGGGCTTTCATGTTCTGAGCAATCTTCTCAAAGATGTAGGACAGAGCCACTTGGTCGTTGTCGTCAAGCAGAGGGTTGATGGCTTTCTCTAGTCGCATCAGCTTCTGTTCTTTCTGTGGGTGCAAACATTTCACACAAAGGGGGGGGGGGGGGTTATTGTTGGCATGAGATAGCGGAGGGAGGGAGACACAGACAAATGGGAGGTGTCGTGGTGAAATCAGTCACTCGTCAAAATAATGAAATCTGAGAAATTGGCACCTTATGGCACCAGTTTGGACATTTAAAAATTTTTTTTTTAATGTTTGGCTCAACTCCTTGTATGTCCACGTAAAAACACTTTTATGTGTGGATTTTATGGAAAAACGTTGAATAAAGGCACAAAACAATATACATTTGCAGTTTCCTCCAAGGACTCTTCAGTTATGGATGTCATCAGACTTTGCCGGCCATTTTCTCGCTAATTTTACCTCTGAAACCAGGTGACCTCACCTCTTTCAATAGCAAATATCTCGACTCGACTTCTATTCAAGATAAATATATCTTTTTTTCATTGAAAGCAAGGCAAATGAATAACCTTTAAGATGATACCAATAACTCCATAGGCCCAAAACTCGACGAGCGCCTGATTCCACCGTGTTGCGGCACAAATAGAGACAGAAAAAAACAGAGGGCTTGAGTGGAGTGACCTTACATTTACGTTTGTGACCTCTGTCTGGAGAAACTAAGATACATCTTTATTGTTCAGATCCTGGTACATTGGTTCCGTGTTTTACCACATACACACACACAAACAAACTGACTAACAGATTTACATACTTACAGAAAAAGTACAAGAAAATTATTTTTTTTACCTCAGCAAATCTTTTGAAGCAAAGATCCAACATGCCCTGGGCGTTCTTGGACAACAAATGTTGGGGGCCTGGGGAAACAGAAGAGCACGAACAAACTGTTACATACACACAAACAAACACACGATTGTCGATTATACCGACACATAACCTACCTAGCAGTCTTCAAGGAAACAGAAGGGAACAAACAAACTGTCACATACACACAAACAAACACACGATTGTCGATTATACTGACACATAACCTGCCTAGCAGTCTTCAATGAAACAGAAGGGAACAAACAAACTGTTTTTAGTTTTAGTAAGTGCTTTACAGCACTTGCAACACAATAAGGTCACTTTAGTGCTGAAGACCAGAGGTGTTACAAGAGAGTAAAAAGAAACACAAAAAGAAGGAGGGGAGATAAGGACGATAAACGTTTGATAGGAAAGAAAAAGCAAACCACACCAGAGCACCCGCCAACCACCCACCTAACATACTGTTACACACGGAGAAACCAACACACAATTTTTTAATTATACCGAACAATAAGTCAGCAGGGAAAAAGCTTGTTCATCAAACACAGGGGACAGATTAAGACCATCAGGTTTTACAAACAAAATGGCGCCATAAACTTGTTTTTTTGTTTTTGTAAAGTGTTTTACGGCGCTCGCAACTGCATAAGGTCATATGAGCATGCAGGACACACCAAATATTTTCAGTTGGTTGGAAATTTTGAATTTTGCCCGGGTGGCGGCCGAAGCCTACTCTTATCGATTTTAGACCACCAAGGGATCTTTAACGTGCGCAACTTGCACACTGGCCCTCCGAGATTTTTTCGCCCTTGTCTGAGAAGGCTAGGTGTAGATCTTTCCTACCAGAAGATCAGGGGTGTGGCAGAAAGACAGCAGTAAGAAGACGCGAAGGAGTAGCAGTAGAAGATATATATA